CATGGCAGGGGAATTCTGGGAGGACGCCTGTCGGAGAAGGAGGATGGAAAAACATGTGAGACTCAAAACTGCAGGATATTCTTGAAATCCAGCGTCACGGGCAAACATCGTAATTATGGTTTGTCTCAGAGGTCCGTCAGGACTGTCAAAAGCCCCTAAATGTACGTCGTTACGACATTCAGTGGCTGCTGGGTGGAACTATTTGACAAATATGATCTGTTTCCTATTTTTCACACAAATGGATGCTGATCGTCTGTCCCCACGTCGAATAATTTTTAAAAAATGATGAGCGTCCTGCCTCGGCATGTTTCATCTGCACCTCCTGTCGCCTGAGGTTTATGTGGATGATGGATGAGCTCCAGCCTTCGGTTACCAAAACTAAAGTGTCCCTCGATGTTTTTTTTGTTTTTTTTTTTGCCTGGAGAAACATGGTTTCCTCATTCAAAAAATTGGAAGAAATGTAGCATGTAGAAAAAGCTTTGTAGATCATAGGAGCAATAACAACAAACCGCAATTCATTTTGAGGGCTAAAAAGTCCATTTGAAGGGCAGCATTCGTGACGCAGTGACCCTAGTGGCCACACGAGGTCGCCAAGTCGACTTAATGAAGTCTGCCAAAATCCACGTTTGAAGGCTACTTCTCATGTCGTTTGGATTATTTTTGCTACATTCTAAATCGGCTTCATTAACAACGCGAACGTATTTACAAGCGTTCGCTATTGAAATCAGGGCAGGGGGAGTAAAAAAATTGTCAACGCGGTACCTGTTGAATCCCAACTGCAGTGAGAATCCACAAGAGGAGCCAACTCATCCCTGGCGAGCAGCCTCACGTGCATCCACTCCAAAAATACTGTTCAGGTGCTCCTCATTCATGCTCCTCCGCGCGGCGCGGCGCAGCGTTCGGCACGTACGCGGCACATCTCGCCGCCGGCATGTGACGTCTCCAACCCCGACCGAGCGAGTGAGCCAGCGAGCGAGCGAGCACAAGTGTTAAAAGTCCATGATGACGTCGACAAGCTTTGACATGTGGAGTTTTCTCCCCCTCGCTGCGCTTAGACAAGGTCTGCCCTTTCCCCACCAAACATGTCTCCTCATCTTCCACGCCGTTCCTTCTCCAACGTGTTTCCTACGGTCCACCTGTCTCATTTCCTCTCTTCCGCCTGCTCATGATTAACTCAGGATTTCCTTCTGCGGCTTAGTCGCACGCCCAACTCGGGTCCTCCTCCTCCATCCGGGTCACCTCCTCCTCTTCCTTTGATCTTCTCCTCAGACCCCCAATGATTCAGGTTGTCCTCCTCCACGTCACTCATTCAGGTTTTCCTTTTCCTCGAGCCTCCCTCACCTCCTGTCCTACTCCCTTCATCCCCCCCACTCCCTAAATTACATACCGTTTCGGGATATTCTGTCCTCTTCAATTATAGAAGCATAAAATTGTATATGTGGCTGACTTTGGCTCATCGTAAGTCAGAATTCAATAAATGGTGGTTCTCATCCGATTCTATGCGCGTCCAATCGAAATCTTCATCGATAAAATGACTGACTAAGCCTTCAAAATTAATAAGACGCGAAAAAGAAAAACCCAGGGCACAGCATTAGAGCTATTTGCCGCACACATGCACAACATCAATCCATGATGTCATCCAGATCCAAGCCTGTAACCCCTTTTTCCCGCCTTTTCCCGGCCGTCTCGTTTCAGTTTTGTTTGGACCGATGTCATCTATCCACCACATTCTGGATGAAATTAGCAATAAAAAAAATAAAAATAAAAAACCCGGCAAAGACACGAAACTCCGCAGGCGACAAGAGGAGTCCATTGCGAACAAACGTGAGCAAGCCTTAGCGTGCCCCCCCGTTGGTCTTTTCAGTCATTTCGGTGAGACAACAGACGAGGAGGTATGATGAGCCGTTTCCACAGATGCCGGACTAAAAAAAAAAAAAAAGTGGAGGGGGGGGGGGAATTTAACCCTTTGAGGGACAGCGGTTACTACAGTGGACAGCCTATCATGTGATCAGGTTTACACGTTATCATTATTGGGTGCATGAAAGGGTTTAAAGCGCACCCTGAACTCTAAAGAGATGCCCTCCAGTCAAAAGTGCATTTCGGGAGAATCATCGGTTTTATAGTCGACCGGTGTCGGAAAGCCACTTAAAAGCGCGCGCTGGGAGTCAAAAGACAGATGTGTTCGAAACGTGTTGACATGAAATAAAGAGCAATTATTATGACATAAATGTATTGAAGTGTTTTGGGGCCCTGCGAAACCTGCTTAGCAACAACGGGTTACACAAAAACAATGGGAGGTTGTGTGGCGATAAAAACAGTGCTATTGAGAGCGACTGCTGACTTCAGTCGTTGCGATTTTTATTGAGGAATGACGGTTGAAAGACGGGGATAGAGAAGCGGTGGCGTTTTTGGTTTTCTTGTTGCGTACTGCGATTCTGGAGATTTTTTTTAGGTCGATGAAAAGATCACGCGGGGGCCTCTGAGGTTCAGCTGCCTTGTTTTTGAACATATGTAATTACAGCTGCTTTATATAGCTGCGGTCTTGAGCTCACGGACGCCCCCCCGAAAAAGAAAAAAAAAATCGGATGCGCACTGGCAAGAGTCTGTAAGAATGCCGCAGCCCGGCGTGAACTGTCAGAAACATTTATCGCAAATACAAAGCGCATGTTGGCCGACGATTTTCTTGTTGTATGAGGAAACAGAACGTTTAGCCTCATAATAGACAGGAAGTGATTTTGAAATGACTGTTATGAAGTCAATTAATCCTTTTGGGGGACAGCGGCTACGACAGTGGACAGTTTACCATGTTATCGGGTTACAGGTTATCGTTATTGGTGCATGGAAGGGTTAAAAAAAAAGTTTTTTTTGGTCTTGGTTTTCTGAAAATGTTCAACGATGCCATTGGGGCAATTCAAAAATTGGCATCCAAAAAAAAAAGATGTGAAAAGTAAAAAGTCGCGTCACATTAAAAGTGCCAACGAGATGATACGTGACGACCGCAAAAGATATGTGAGGCGGGATTCAAGGGGCTGGTTCGGTGGTTCGTTTGCCGGTGGGAAGCAAATTGGCATCCAAAAAAAAGATGTGAAAAGTAAAAAGTCGCGTCACATAAAAGTGCCAACGAGATGATACGTGACGACCACAAAAGATATGTGAGGCGGGATTCAAGGGGCTCGTTCGGTGGTTCGTTTGCCGGTGGGAAGCGACGTCTCGACAAAGCAAAAAAAAAAAAAAAAAAAAAACTTGAACCCCCCGGGGG